TTGGCTCAACACCTTGCACATTCATTCAAAAACACTTTTATGTGTGGATTTTATGGAAAATCGTTGGTTAAAGGCAAAAAAGAAGTAAATTTGCTATTTCCAAGGACTCTTTAGCTATGGAAGTCCCCAAACTTTGGCGGACATTTATTTGGTGCTAATTTTACTTCGAAAGCAGGTGACCCTACCTTCTTCAATCGCAAATATCTCGACCTCTATTAAAAATAAATGGATATTTTATCATCAAAAGCAAGGCAAAAGAACGACCTTTAGGATGATACCTAGGCCTTTTCAGTATACTGAGAAGGCCTAGGGGAGATACCAATAACTCCACATGCCCACAAATTGACGAGCGTATGACTTCACCGCGTCGTGACACAAATGCAAAACTCCAGTGCCCATGAAAGTCGTGAGTTCATCGGCTGCACGCGACTGCTCTCTCATAAGGAAATACGATCTATCATTATGATCATCGATTTCTGTCCCTGCAGTCTGTGGCACTAATTTAACATTACTTACGCCATACTATTATTATAGCTCTTTACTGTTCCTTTCCCCTCCTTTTACGTAAGACTGCAAGAATTAACTAAGTTCAAGTTTATCATGTGAATGACAGGGTTCGTCCGTCATCAGCTTTTATTTTTGCATCGTTGTCGGGGTTAGAAATGTTGAAAACTGGGCGTGAAGTTAAAGCGGAAAAAACTTAACGCTCAATATGTGTTAATAAAAGTGCATCTTTCATTTTAGTTCGTTTCTTTTTTATTCCCTGGCGCTATTTTTTAATTGTGATTTTAAAATCTCCGAATGCTTTCTGGTCGCAAAGCGGGATATCTCAATTTCCATTAAACTGATGTTGGTGAAACAGCTGCTCGTTACGTCACATTCAGAGTCTGAGTAAAGGTTACGCTCTTTAACGTTGCTTGCATAAGACGTCCAGTTTACCCTATCCGTACGTCGTATTTTACTATTGTATCCATACGACGTGGGCAACTCTGTGCCACCACTTTCCAAAGAGGAAATTTACTCGTTAATCCAATCCGCAGTCTGTCAAAATGATTTTTTTTTTTGAAATACTAAAAGTTTCTAAGAGATCTTCGTTCTAGAAGTGTTCTAAAATGTGAAGAATACAACCCTGGGGGTACAAAATAACCCCAGGGCGTACGGATAGGGCTAAACGAGTACGGGAAGTTGTAGCCAGATCAATTGTATGTGGGTTATTTTAACGATTTAAGTCTATTAGAATTAATTAATTTTCTCTGTCAAAGGGGTTTTCTTCTCGATTTTACCGAACTGATCGACCTCAGATATGAATTGGTCAATAACTTACACAAGCAGATAACCGAGCCGAAGCTCATAATCTGACCACATGGATGCTGCGTACGGAAGTCAGCCTGGCAACTCGATCAACCGCAACATGAAAGCTGATTCCTAACTCTACCTGATCAGTTCTTGTGTGGTCTTTGTCAGAACCCCCCCCCTTCCTTCTCCCCTCCCTCTCTCTCTCTCTCCTCTCTCTCACCCCGCCCCACCCCCGTCCCCGTCCCTCACCGTTTTTTTCCACCGTATGAAAATTACACACAACCAATCAGTACACTTTTCCTATTATATTTCTTTTCCTTAGCATTTTATAGTAAGAGCCAGAATTTTTCCCTGGCAAAAACTGTTTTAGTTTAGATAGCTTTGTTTGAGAAAATAGGAGTACGTCGATATGATACCGATCATTTAACCCTATCCGTACGCCCTGGGGTCATTTTGTACCCACGGGGTTGTATTCTTCACATTTAAGAATACTTCTAGTAAGAAGATCTCATTGAAACTTTCAGTATTTCTCAAAAAATCATTTTGACAGACTGCTCTGCTATGCAAAGCGTACGAATCGGACTAACGAGTCGGAGTAGATTTCCTCTTTGAAAAGTGGTGGCACAGAGTTCCCCATGTCGTATGGATACGATAGTAAAACACGACGTACGGATAGGGTTAGAGTATAAGGGGCAGATCGAGACAAACAGATGGACCGTAGGCGTGGTTGCAAGATCAACTTTAAGACACAAGACACTGTGTCGATTAAATTTGACAACATGAGATTTGGGGGTTTGTAGTTGGTGAATGTTCAGGTATACGGCCCGACCAGACCACCAAGAATAATAAATTTTTTTATAGAGGCACTAACTGCAATGGTGTGGGCACATCACTCCTTCATCCGGCCTTGCCTAGATGATCCAGCAAGGCAGCGTCCAGGGGAAAAGGAGCAGAGGCAGACCGAAGAAGAGTTGGGAGGACAACATCAAGGAATGGACATGCCTGGAACTCAAAGACATGCTCAGGAAAGCTGAAAACCGGAAGGAGTGGAGGAAGCTGGGGGCCAAATCTTCAAAAGCCCCGATGGACTTTCAGTCTACGGGATAGGTGAAGGTGAATATGCACTAACCATCCTTGCTCAAGTCCTGCTTTTGCCTCTTCCTCATCTGTTTGTGAATTTATTAGTTATTACTGTTTTCCACAAACCTTTATGCGCTGTGAATCTAGGATTAATATTTTGGGATTTAAATGTTTATATGGTCGCTTTTAAGAACAAGGGGGCTATCCCGAAAAATGCTGCTTTGGGAAAATCGAAGGTAAAATTTTTGCCCCTTATTCAGTTTCTTTAAAAGACAAGGAGAGTTTTCTCTATCAAACAAATATACACACCTATGAAACCAAACTTCTCCTATAGGTAGGGCAATGCCCACTTTCGGTGTAGGTCAAGATTTCTGAAACCCCCCGAAATCAGGGTTAGCCTGCTTTTCCTTAAAAGCGATCATATATATATAAAAGCCTTTACCAACATTCCAGTTTGAAATAAGAGGTAGAACCTCCGAGCTGAACGTTCATCTGTGATAGGACCGAGCTCGGTCAATGAGAAACCTCAAGCTCCCACTCCCAATCCACTTTTTGACTCTCTTCATGCTGAGCAAATGAGCCTGAGGATGATGATGATGCTGATGATGAAGATGATGATGATGATGATGAAGAAGAAGAAGAAGAAGAAGAAGAAGAAGAAGAAGAAGAAGA